AAATTTAATAAAAAAATCATAATACAAAAATAGAGTAAAATAAGAAAAATAAACATAAAAAAAATAATAAAAGGTATAAAAAATTAACTAAAATTAAATAATATAAATAATGCATAAAGTAAAATTAAATTAAATATTTAAAAAACAAAAAAAAAATAAAAATCAAATAATATAATATATAAATAAAATACAAATATAATAAAATCAATCATAACAAAAAGAAATATATAAAAAAAATTTAAAATAATATCAAATAAAAAAAAAAATTATTAAAAATAAAATTAATTAAAATGAAATGAAGAAAATGCCTTACGTATAATTATTGTGTCGTGACATGAATGGTATGTGCCATTTCTTCTTTTTCGTTATTGGCGTTTGCACCCTCTTCGTTTTGCTGTTTGGCACCAGCTGGAAATACCAATTGAAGCCAGGTCACTCTCCAACAGGTACTTTCAACAGAGTGGAGGTCTATATCTCCGCCAGCGGATAGACTATACGCCTACTCAGTCCAAAGTAGCACCTCTTGGCAGGAGTGATTCTGCGTTGGATTTCCTTCTTCTCGGTTCGCTTCTTTATCAATTCTGGAGAAAGTAGAACTAACGGCACTGTAGTTAAGGCCAATAATGTCTATATCAGCAGCTGTACACAGTTAGAGATGATTTTACCTTCTCCACTCAGCTCTGCAGCTCTTATTGCTTTCTTCAGCTTCAGATCGAAGAAATCCTATGATAAAAGCTCACCTTGTCTGCTTTTGCTTTCAAACGACTCGGAGACGTTTTTCCCTGTTTACACACCCGTATGAGCTTTGCGGTGATATTAATAGAGGGTTCTCTCATCCGAAGCATATTTTGTATTTTCATTGTATTTTGGTTTTCATGGGGTGGGCCGTAAAACTTACGCACAACCGCAATGGATTCGGCTTCTCACTTTAACTCGCCGCCAAACGGATGTCCGTTGGCTACCCAAGGGATACGCAGTCTAAGACCGGAAGTCGCGAGCTGATTGAACCACATGCAAAATAATCGTTTCTGGCCACTTCCATCTGAATTGCGGTGGAAAACAGTGGTGAACTTCTAGGTCACTAAAAACTCTAAACTTTCCTTAAAGGAATCGGCGCTCACCCTGCAACCATTTTCGCATTACTTCGGTGCGGAGTACCATCTTTCTCATAGTGAGATTACATTTCACGACCTGTGTCCATGTTTATTTTTTTCGCTCGTAATACTTTTCCTGCGAACTCCTTTACGTTAACCCAGCTTACTTTACTTCGTAGCATAATTGAGACAATATTCTTCACTCCTAGTTCTTCAACTAAGTTCTCAAATTGGAATCTTTCTTCAGCTTTTCCACATTATGCTTTAGATATTCCCTGAAGTATTCGTGGTCGGACAGTAACTGGATAATATAGTAGTCTACTTCCTCGAAATCTGTTTTATACGGTTTCCTTCTTCCTAGTTGCAGTTGCGAGAAGCTCCTGAATTTTGCTAATTACGAACGGTTTCATTTTATGTATGCTATGGAAAAAGTTGTATAAATTCTTTGCTTTCATTAAAAGCATAGAAAATATATAAGAAAAGAAGAACTATAAGAATCAGCAGTAACTGCACATTTTTAGCGTATATATGAAGAACATCTATGTACTCGTACGTACGTTTGTTATTGTACTTCGTTTCAGAGTGCAAAAATATGAATTGAGAAATATTTAAAAATAGTCAAAAAATAATAATATATGAAAATCTCAAGTTTGAAAATAAAAAAAATATCTCAAAATAAATAGTAATAATTATCGCTCGAAATGGGAGAACTTAAAAAAGTAATTGAAGATTCATTCATTGATCGTTTTCTTCCCTTCTCACTTACCTTTGTTATTGTTTATTCCTTGTGCTTATGTTTGTTGTCTTTTTGACCGTCGTTTACCGGCGTAAGTCTTTAAACGCTCGTTTGCTTGAATGTACCAGCAACTAAATACTAACCCCAACTTGGCCATTCATGAATGATGAAATGTCATAATATTTTTAAAGAAAGCAACATATATATATGTTTTTTTTATGTGAGTACATGTACACATACCAATTTAGTGACTTAAAAGAAAGAGTTCATATTTTGGTCTTTTGATTGTAGTTCATGTATACGTGTATATATATGAAATATTTTAGGAACTACATATGTAGATTTATAATAAATTATTTTTTTCAACGCTTCTATTTCTATTAATTTTTAAATTAAACAGCTGATAATCTCTCTCTTGCTGTTTTTCGATTTTGCCTTAAACTCTTCGTTGCTCCAAATTTTGTATGATCTCCTCTCTATGTTGACGACACGGTGGCGTATACTTTATGTCACTAGGCTGTCCGTGGCTATCAAAAGCCAATACATCCAGTGCGTGCGGGAAACTTTAAGCATTTGCTTTTCCTATTTGTTAAGAGATAAGTTAGTGAAATACTGTTTTAAGCGCCGCAAAGCGTACTCTACACAACTGTATGTATTACAAGTAATTATTTAAATAAAATATGTATGTAAGTTGATCGTATTTCGTTGCTCAGTTAGTTGCATGTCGCGAGGTTTTCTGATATTATGCTACTTTGCGCCCAAAGGGCCACATTCAGTTGAAGTAAATACATATATATACATATGTATGTACATGTATGCAAACGCTGTTAAAGAGCACTGACAGATAAGCGCGCTGGAGATAAAGTTAGGAATGAATTTAGAGATTAGAAAGAAAAACAAAAGAGAATGAGTATTTGTTCAACTAATGAATGTTAGATAAAATCCAAATGAAAAGATACTGGGTTAATTTTCTGTCTTACTCTATTCAAAGCAAAGATTCTAAAATACGGAAGAAGGCGCTTTGAAGAACCATTTAGTGAAATATTTACTATTACTAAAAAAAATTATTACCAATTTTTTCTTAAAAAATCAAATCATTCTTCATCTACTAAAAAATATACTATTAAAGTTCAAGTATAAAATCTGTACTGAAGAAAATAAATGTTGCAAATGATTTCAAATTCTTCTAATTCAGTAGGAAATACATAAAGAGGAATGTTTAGGGCAATATGATATGTATGATTAATGTTTATTTGCACTAACAGATTTGCTTTGAATTGAGTTCAAGAATTAATAAATATATGGCAAATATTGCATTTAATTGGAATTTCTTAATTAATTTAATTTGTCTTGTTTAATTTTATTTCTTTTTATTTCGCTAAAACTTATTTTATTTTGTTTTGAATTATTTTGCTTAAATTTAATTTAGCTTATTTGATTTTACGGTGTTTTATTTTTATTTATTTGACTTAATTTATTTTGAATTATATTGTATTATTCATACAATTTGCTTTTATTAAAGTTGGTATTAATCGTTTTTACTTGATTTTAATTTGGTTCATTTTTTTCACCTTACTTTATTTGACTTCCTTTATTTAATTTAAATTTGTTTTCTGTTATTATTTTGTTTTTCTTTAATTTTATTTACCTTTTTTATTTCTTTTTTATTTAATATTTTAAATTTCTATTTAAATTTTTTTATCGCCTTTTCGTTGGAAACCAACAAAATTGGCTTTGTATTTTTTTGTATTTATTAAATAATATTAATTTTTTAAATTTAATTTAATTTTATTCTAATAATTTGTATTATTTATTTACCTTAATTTTGTATATGGGTATATTTATTTCATTCTTTATGCAAACTATTTATATTAGATACATTACTTAATTATTATATATGTTTAAAATTAATTTATTACCTTTTATTCGGCTACTCTATTCTATTTTAGTTACTTTTTTATTTAATTTGATTCTTTTGTTTTGTTTAATTTAATTTTACTTCTATTTACTTTACTTATTTTTTTGTTTAATTTTTTATTAAATTTATCTTTTTTTTCATTAGTTTACTATATTTTATTTAAATTTTATTTTATTTTATTATACATTCTCCATTTTGTTTAATTTTTTTTAATCTATTGTTTTTTGTTTTATTTTGTTTTATATTATTCTTTGTTATATATTTATTTTTTTTATTCTTATTTATATTAATTTTATCTTTTTTTAATTCGTTTTATATTTCATACTTTATTTTATTTTTATTTTTATTTAATGCAAATTATTTTATTCAACTTAATTTTATTTAATTTGTATAATTGTAGTTTATTATCTTTTATTTTGATTTATTCCATATAACTTCAATTTATTTAATTTTTTTTTAAATTTATTTACATTATTTTTTATATGATTTTATTTTATAATTCATAATTATTTGAGTTCCTCTTTTTAATTTTTCTTGTTTTTTAATTAAATTAATTGTTGAACAAATCATACAAGTTCAGTTTGAGCAAATATGTGCTACATATTTTTTGTTTTTTATCTGAAGGAAAACGGTTTCAAATTCTATGCTGAGTATGGAAACAATGGTATTATTGTACAATATATCTGTCAGTGTACATGGGCTAATCGTGTGCTATACGTTTGATAATTTCAAGCAAAAATTGAATAAAAATTTTTTAAGTAATTGGTCCCAAGAACAACACAGCCACTTAGGCGACAAAATATGTAAGCTCTACAATTCATTTACAGTTTTGAATTTATACATATACCATAAGCTTTGTATCTGTTGGCATGAATTATTGTAGCTTTGGCGCTATGTGAAGTAGGAAAAAATTCCCAAATTCTTGTAGAACAAGTTTCCTCCAATCTAACGAAATCATTTAAATTAACCCATTTGAGTGTGTTACATACATATATGTATGCATATTTATACTTACACATACATAAGTATAGTCAGAGAGTTTCTTGACATTCGCAGCTATATTAACTGAGGTATTTATTTAATAATATAATAATTTGGCGCATTGTAACCGCTGAAGCGATTTTCGGCCGAGCTCCTCCTCCAAGATATATTTACATTTTCATGTAAAAACTACTCTTTACATTTTAAAATATTTGCTTACACCTACTTGTGACATTTTCTTTTCTAATAACTTTCTTTCCATCCTTTTCAGGTTAGTACAGTTTTGCTGTTCGCTTTGTAAAACGATAAAATTTTTCCAGAAAGGTTGGTAATTATAAAAATTGATATAATATTTCTTTTTAGTGTTTGTAATTATAACATTACTATCAAAAATATAAATACATTTTTAAGAAATAATATAAGAATATTTTTTAAGTGAAAGTTACTTCTGTGCACCGTTACCAGTTTTCGCAATTTTTGTATATTCCACAAAGCAATATGATACATACATAGTTTTCAGTATGACTAACAGTGTTGTCAATTTTCTTGAAAAGAATAAATAATGTTAATGCCAGGTAGGGGACTCCAAGCAGCGTTGCCGAATTTCCCTTTTTTAACTCAATAAGCAAAATGTATGTATGTATGTCGCCTTCCGCATATTATTTTATTTTTGTTCAATAAATGTATATAGTGAAGCTTTAGCAAAAATGTTCACCTTCAGTTATAGCGGCAATTGTTGTTTTCAATACACTTTCCTTTCTGTTTTCGGCTGGAAAGGAAAATATATGTGTATTAAACCAAGTGGATTGTTATTGGTTCAGTACAATGTTACCAATTTCCACCGCAAACGTTTAATGACAAATCCATCGAAATACCACGTGTTGCCTTCAAAACTTACCAAATAAAATTTTACTTTTATAATGCCATTAAATAATTAAGTTATTAAATTCTATTATTCGTGCTAAGCCACAAAAGCAAACCACTTATATTTCTATTAATTTTTTGCCATTTATGGCAGTCTGTTTCAATTAACTACGTAGTTTTGCGCTTTTCAACACATTTATGTATGTGTCCGATTTCATACATTTGTGCTTTTTTTTTTTGTTTTTTTAATTATCCAATTCTTCAAACAATTTAGCAATTAATTTCCATCTTTTTATAATGGCTAATTTTCAGTCGCTCTGCTATGCTGCTATCAGCTAGAGAATATTTATGGTATTATGTAAGCTTCTATTGTATTATAAATACTGTAATGGTGTGGATATGTACGTGCGCGCCTTATATGTGGTTGAGGCATTACCCTTGAGCGGCCTCGCCAAACCCACTCTGTTGATCGCGGTGATGAGGATGATGCTGTTAATCAAGAGACACATGTGGTGCACACATGTGCGGCTTAGAATTTTAAGTTTCGGCGCTCAAAATAAAACAACTTAAATCAAACAAAAAAAAAAAAAAACAAAAAAAAAACATTATAAAAAGGCAAAAAGTCAAAAAGTTAGATGAAATAAATAAATGAGCTGAGCGTGTTTTTGTACAAAAATCTCAACATTTTAAATGTGTGTACATATGTGTACGAGCGAGTGTATAAATATTATATGAGTAGCCTGAGCATTTTAGAACGTAGAAAAATTACTTACATGCCATAGTTATTTTTATATGTGTTTTTTTGTTCGTTTCTTTTTGTTTTTTTGTTTTTTGCTTTTAATATGAATTTCTATGCGTGTGACTTAAGCGTGATCTCATGTTCATACATTTTGCTTGGCCTCTAAGCCTAACGCTGTTAGTTATGATTGCGTGTTTTAGAGCGTTGAGATTAAATAATGCAGCTGCTCTACGTAAAATTCAAATGAACTTCGCAGTTGTTTATGAGAAATGTAGAATGCAGTTTATTCAGTTCAAACAAAAAAAGAGAAATAAATTTGAATAATTTTCTAATAAATTATAACGAAAGGAATGCGTCACTATTGTAATTTATAGTTATTTTAGCTTATAGCTATATATTATATTTTTAATTAATTTGCAAAATTATTCAAAAATCAAAGAAAAATCATCTCTTGCTTGTATAATAATTTTTATTCTTATATTTTATCCTACATTTAAAATTGTTGTCATTTATGAAGTGAAATGTTGACAAACCTAACAAAAAAAAAGAGCAACTCGACAGCTGACAGTTTAAGCTTTGTAAAAATGGAACAATATTTCAAAAATAATAAAAGCTTGGCAGCCGCAGCTCGAAAATTTCATACAAAATTGTCGGAATTGTATTTTAACTTCGTCAACTGTGAGATTAAAAAATCCGGGGAGAGAAAGAGAGAGAGAGAGTTTGTTGAATGGGTTATTATTATTCTCTAGATTGAGGGATTATTAAGCACCAGCAAATGTATGCAGATTTTTCGCGCAAAATCATCCTAAGAAATGAAGCACGTTTTCATTTTGATTGATTAGTTAATCGCCAATAGTGGAATTGGGTTTCTGGGTACCTACATGTGATTGCCGTGAAACAAATGCATTACCAACGTGTCACTTGTTTGGTGTAGATTTTTGGCAAGCGGCATAATGGGACCATATTTTTTTTTTTTTTGAAAACGAGGCTGTTCAAGCAGTGGTTATTACTGCTGCTCGATATCGCGACACGATAACCTGGTTATTTTTGCCGAAATTTGATTGATATAGATACGGTCAATATGTGCTCTCATCAAGATGGTGCCACATGTCGTACAGGCCGTGAATAACTTCAGTTACTGTGTGAAACATTTCCAGGTAGTATACTCTCGATATTTTGATAATAAGAATTGTGAGAGCAAACACCACCAAATTAATGGATTATTATTAATACTTATTTTTCAACACAGAAATACGTTCATTAAAAGGATTGAAGCTTTAAACAAATATATGTATAAATATCTATTGCATACACGTATATAAAGCAACCGAGTAACTCCACCGATTTATGATGGGTGGCTTGATGTTTTTCATACTAAGTCTAGGTTGTTTATTCTAAGTTCCCTTCGAACGGTCGATGGATGTATTTTAGGAGGTTTTATTCAGGCTAGAGATACACTCGGTGACCTTGACATTTGCTGCCTAGCGGCGACACATATTGGCTTGCTGAATTTCTCTTATGCTTTGATGTATGCAATCTCTTTGTATGTATATGCAATCTCTTTCTTCCAAAATAATATCTCTTTATTTTTTTTACACATATTCTCACCCAACTTGCTACATATGTATCTCTGGTCCCACTTCAAACCAGTCATAGTGAAGTAAAATGTTCTTTTTTTGCTTTCTGGCATGCCATCATTACAGCCTACACTATCACTATCTATCGATTGTCCCATAATATGCCACAAAATATGCCGACATAATTCAGATGCGGCAATAGATATGCTTGCCACAAGCTTATAATCTTTCTACAAGCACTTTGCCGCTGATTGGTTTGGATTTACGCACAAACACTTACAAATACATACATACGCATATTACAATATTATGAAGTATGAACGCCTCTGTTAACGACAGAGACTGCCACATGTTGCAGCAATCTAATCGCGTTGATTAAGAATATGTTGTTGTTGTCTTTTTCATTTTCTCCGTTTTCCTTTTTTACCCCACCAAGCACACTTTGATAAGCGACTGATTGAAAATTCTTAACTTAAATAATAATATTTTAACAATTTTTATCGCTATCGCATTTTTTCAGATCTTCCATTCGTGTTGTGTTGGTACGAGTATAAAGAATGACGACGAAGAAGATAAACAAAAATTATTAGAAAAATTAAATTAACTAAGTTTTTTTTGTATGTTTTGTATACAAATATATATATAAATATGTATCATTTATACATTTATACATATATTATATGTATAGCCAAAGTATTGCCTGTCGCTTTACAGTTGTTGTAAAGTGGTTAGGTGAGTTGTTGTTATTTTGCTACTACTAATTTTTTTATTTGTTTTTGCCGCTTTTACAGTATATTCGGCATGTTTATGAGTTAATTAGTTGGCTGGCTATTTGGCTGGTGGAAGAGTAGGTTGAACAGGTTGGACGTCGCTTGGTTGGCTGGTTGTATGGTTGATGACTGAAAGCGACAAGCTTGCGTCTGGCTTTACCTTCGCATATACAAATGTGTGTGTGTGTGTATGTGCTTGCTTAGCCGCCTCTAACACTTGACAGCCTCGAGCTAAAGCGACTTTTGAAGATCTTGATGTTTGATATTTTTAGCGTAGACCCGGTTTTTCGTATAGCTTCCCTCATACGCGCGCCTACAAATACATTACTATGTGTATATAAATATGTATGTATGTGTAAGTATACTTATACATACATACATATTATATACATAAATTCTAGCTTAAATAAATTTTCGTTCAAGTTTATTTTCATTGCTTGAATATTAGCTTTGCATTTACATGTGTACATACATGCATGGCAAATCTATCTAGGAACGAGTTCTGCTGTTATAGATCCGTGTTGATAGTCATGTTGCTGCTGCTGCGGCTGCTGTTGATCACTAGTTCGCCTTTGTTGTTGTTATTTGTTTGTATAGTTATTGCTGCGAGTTGTAGCTGTTGCCTAACAACACACTTATATACATGTGTTTTTTATAAAGTGTTATTATTAATAATATAATATTATACATATTTACATATGCATGTATGCTTGAGCTTTGTATATTGTCGGTTAGTAGTTGGCTTGTTTTGCGTTTTGTCTACATGACCCGTGCTGGCCGGGTTGCGTTTCGCTTCTATTTCTGTCTTATCAGCTGTTAGTCTGACGGTGAAGCGTTTCGCTTTCAACATCTATGCGCTTTTGTCTTTAATCGAAGTAAACATATATTTGGACCACACTACTCCTATTCTTTGTAACATGGCAATGTTTATCGGCGTTGGCGTTGACTGTAAATATATTTTTTAACAAGAAAAAAATAATCGCTTCGTTGTTCGGCTTTATTTTATTTTGCTTATTTATTTTATGTAGTTTTATTTTATTTTTAATACTTTATTTTGGTTTAATTTTTTAATTTCATTTCAAGTATTTATCTTTAAATCTTTAAATTTAGTTTTATTTTGTCTGATTTATAATTATTTATTTATTAAATAATTATTTTTATTTGATTAGTTGTATAACAAAATATTTAATTCATACAAACAAACCAGACTTTTAGTTTACTTTGTACTTGTATATATTAAATTATTATATAATAATTTAATTTTTTTATATTGTATGTTATTTTTTTATTTCCTCATAAAGTTATTTAAAAAAAATTATTTAATTTAATATTATTTATGATTATTTTATTTTTTCCTATTTTTTTTTATTTATT